ATTTTTTTATTTTTATGTAAATAGATGCATTTATTGATATATTGACAATACAATATACACTTATTGGTGAAAAAAATAAATTATCTATTGAATGAGGTGTATTATCATTTAATACTAACTATTTAAATCAATCAATCAATTTAAAAAGAATTTTTGTAATGAAATTTAATTCTATGATATTATTAAAGAAAATTAATTATTTTAATCATTTTTATTAGTTTTTGATAAATTAATTATTTATTTCTTATATAAGAAATAAGAGAGAGTAATATTTTAGCATATGTATTTCACAAGTTAAATATTTATTATATATAATTAAAATTTATAATAAATAATATATATATATATATATATATAAATATATAAAAATATTTATATAAATAGATATTTTTAAATATGTAAATTATATTTTATATTTAAGATAAATAAATTATATTGCACAAATCGTTTTTATCTATTGATAATTTATTTTAGAATATTAAAATTTAATTCATAGATATGAAATTAAATCAATTTCTACATATTAAATGTGAATAAAACAAATATATCAAAAAGGAATAATTTGGATAAAAGTATTTTAATCATTATTAAATTTCTGCAATATTATAAAATATAAACTGCTACTAAAATAATTAAAAAAATATATGAAAACAAATATTATAAAATAAATTATTAATCATTATTAGAAATCTATAATATTATAAAATAAACTACTACTAAAAATAATTTTAAAAAATACCAAAATAAATAGTAAAATTTGAATAAAAATATTTTAATAATTACTAATCATTATTAGATTTTCACAATATTATAAAAGATAAACTACTACTGAAAATAAGTAAAAAAAATATATTAAAACAAATATTATAAAATAAATTACTCATCATTGTTCAATTTCTGCAATACTATAAAATAAATTGATACAAAAAATAATTAAAAAATAAATATACTAAAATAAAAGGTAAAATTTGGATAAAAATATTTTAACAATTACTAATCATTATTATATTTTCATAATATTATAAAAAAATTCGCTACTGAAAATAATAATAATAAAAAAAATCAAACTAAAAAGTAAAATTTGGATAAAAACATTTCATAATTACTAATTATTAGTATATTTTTGCAATATTATAAAATAAACTGGAAAGAATTAAAAAATAAATATATCAAAATAAAAGGTAAAATTTAGATAAAAAGAACTATAATAATTATTAGATATTCACAAAATCCAATAGTTATATCAAATTTTTCTCACAACCATATGTAACAATTTTAAGAGTTCCATCGAATAGCGAATTAAAAACCTTAGTTATTGATAGTAAAAATAAAGATTTTAAGGTGGAATAAGAATTTTAGTTATTGATAATGAAGATGAAGATTTAAATAAGGTGTACTCAATCAGTACTAAGACATACAATTTATTTTGGAATTATTGTACATAAGTTCATATAACTGATTTAGATTTGTACGAGTGTTTAATTAACTTTTACATAATCATTTTCATGTGTAATTATTTCTTCTATAAACTTGATATATCCTATATTATCTAGTTTTCGTTGTTAATAGTGTTAATTTCACAAAGTGTATGCACTGTGACGGGTCGTTACATTTTTAATTATATAATCAATTAAATATAAAATCATCAAACTTATGTTACCAAAATAAATCCAACTTACCAAAATAAACCATGCATTTCACGGATATCAAATCTAATATTAATAAATTTAAAATGGTAGAATGAAATTAAGGAAAATTAATGTAGTTTTTTTAATGCTATTAAATATTAATGTATTTTTTTTTGTAAATATATAAATAAATATAATTTTTGATATAATATTAATTATTTGTATCTATTTATTAATTATATAGATAATTTATTTTATGTTTTATTTCTAAATTAAAACTATGTTTATATTATAAAATAAATTATTTTACTATTGTTTTAATTTTATTTTATCTTTTAAAATATCGTGATTCACAATAATATTATATGGTAATTATTTTTTGAAAACAAGATCTATTCAATTAATAGTATAGTTCATAATTTTTCCTTAATAATGTAACTATATATATAATAATTTATTGGACTATTTTCTCATTTTAATAACTACTTTCAAATTACTCTCTTTACTATTTTTTTTAATTTAATTTCCATTGTTTTTTTACTTTCTTGTAAATCTCTAATTAATCACTCATTTTATTATCTCTTTCTTTTTTTTAAATAAGTGCCTTTCTCGGCTTGTTTAATATAATACTAATTATTTAAATAAATGCTTTTATTTTTGTATATATATATATATATATATCTAAAAAAATCAAATACAAATATACAAATCATATAATTTAACGTGGGTAATGATTTATTGTAGATATTTTGATCTCAAATAAAAATACAAAAATATTTTAAATCACTAAGGTTATAAGTGTCATAATATTAATACTTAATTTACATTTTTTTTATACAATTTTAATTTGTAAGCAGTATGTAAAAGGTGAACTATATGCTTAGTTTCTAACAAAATTATTATAGTAACTCGAATTAATCTACACGAGACTTTATGCAAGTTATTTACAAAGTTAGGCATTGAATATAAATACCATAACAAATTTATTTTAATGAGACTTCACTCATTACTTTTAGTGATGTGAAACTCCATTTCCACACATCATTTATTTTTGGATACACGGTCATGATTGTCATAATCCTCATTTATTTCCCACCATGGTATATATCAACTATAATTAAGGTTACAATTTACAAATTATTACCACAATTTAACACAGAATTAAACACATTATTTCGTGTTTGATTATCTTTCACAGTTCCATCCTTTCTTACATTTACAGATCAGATTTTCCGCATTTATCAATGTTTACGTCTAACATAATTTTATGTTTGAAAATAAATTTTAAAATCTATATGATCTATTTAAAGCTTGAATTAATTAGAAAGTTTCCTTACAAATCTGATTTATAACAGTCTTTAGTTTTTGGGTATCGTTTTGGGTTTGGCTTGTAAATAACTTTTTACATAGTCTTTAGTTGGGGCTTTTTTACTTGGATGGGGTAATTTTTTTCAAAATTCTAAAAATGGGCTAATTTTCAATTTTTTTTAAAAAAAAATTGGATCAATATTTATTATTAACATTTTCTTTCAAATATATTTTTATTATTTAATTATATGTATTTAATTCTAATTATTTATTAAACATTTTAATAAATATATTTAAATCTTTTTATGTGGATTATGAAAATTAAAAATTAAAAAATTAATGTTGTGTATATAATCATGACTTGAAAATTAAAATTTACGTTCAAGAGTTTTATATTTTAATATAAGTCTTATAAATGACTCCAAAATTTAAATAAATAATAATAATGATTTCGTGATTCAGTTAACGACTTTAGACTTATTTAGAAAAAAAATAAAAATTGTGTTTACAAATCACGACTTCTAATATTTTGTTTTAAAAAAATATAAATTCATAATTCGGGTTTCTATACACGACATGTCGTGTCTCTCGACTTTTGAAAATTTTTAAAAACTTACTCATTTCAGGAATTTTGAGAAAAAATTGGACATCAAGGTTAAAAAGCTGTTTGGTTGGTGGAAAATGAAGAGGAGAATATGAGAGAGATTTTTATTAATTTTTGTAGGAGAAAGAGGAGTAAAATCTTTTCTTATCTAATTTTAGCTATCATTCAATATTTGAGAGATTTAGAAAGAAGAGACATGGATTTAAAATATTTTTAATATAATATTTAAAATATATTTACATGTGTTTTAAACATCTAAATTATAAGGATATAAAGATAAATTAATTTTTAAAATTTATTTCATCTCCCTATAAATTTAACAAGAAAATAACTATTTTTTCTTCCCAACTCTCCACTCAACTAAACAAAAGTTTTAATTCTCTCCTCCCTTCCTTCCATTTGAACCAAATAAACTCTAACTTAAACACATAAGTTTAAATAGACTTTTAATATATATATATATA